CCGCTAGATGGCCAAGACCTAGTGTTTTTGCAGTATTTTGACACGCAAATGTATGACGTCACCATTTCAACCATCAATGAACGCATGGAACTAAAACAAAGCTTAATATAAAGGAAAAGCTGGAGAGGTGACGGAATTACCTACGATGTTGGAATATACCGTGTTTACCCTATTATTTAAAGCCTGTTGGAGTACCCCCTTCCATTTTTTTTATTTTTTGGTAAAATAACTCCAGGTTTTGATGCATTGTAGGTAGAACTCTTCTAGTTACATACCTACATAAAAACATTGTCACTTTGTAGCCCAAGATTTCATGCACAACTGCACAAGCTAGTCTGGAAAAGTCCTATTTTTGTCTGAAATATCGCGGCTCTAATATCATATAATTTCAGTAGGTATGAAATATCAGTCGCGGCTCGCCAAGTAGATATATTCCATACTAGTGCACAAGTAGCTGTAGCCCGTAGGTACTGAAGTACTAGCCAGTAGCCAGTAGCCACTAGCCACTAGGACAATTCCGATCCTGTAGTACCTACTACCTATTTCATTGAAAACTGAAACACGTCTGATGAGATGAAATAATGAAAATGTGTGAATACTGAATAGTCATGATAAAACCAACGAGTAAAAAAATGTTACCACTATAGGCTATCATCATATTAAACTCGATTCAATGTACTTACTGAAATGTATTCATGTTCAGAAACTATCGTAACGTCTCTATTCAGACTTGAAACGAATTCTTCTATTTTTTTAGACCAGATAGTTTTACCAGAAGCTGGAATACCAGTAACAATAACTAGTGGCATTTCAAATATATAATATTTCAGAAACAATTTAGAAATTTCAGACAGTAATTTATCGAGTGGGAATAGGTTCAGTTGCTATTTTCAATAATTATTCTGGTCCTCCACTCCTGCTCATAGCACCCCTGCACAGCCTCATGCTGTTGCGGCTTTCGTCTATGTTTACATATTCTTTTTGGGTTGGAATTGGATGCAATTGGCGTTACCTGTCGTTACTGAGGGTGACAAATTCCTACTTTTAGGGGGCTTACGGCATATGCGTTTGGAGCGACATCTTTGTTTGCTTTATTGAAGTTTATGCATGTAGTGCGAAAATCATTTTGATATAACAGTACTTCATCCATCAAATTTATATTTCGTATTGAGAAATCGATATTGCAAATTTATCAATTTCATTCATCATTTACCACGTAAAATGTGGAGTTAGGAAGTCTATTTGTATCTTGCATTAGAATTTATGATACTCATTGCTCCTTCCGCTAAAGGCGAAACAATGTTTTGCTCCTCATGAATTGAAACTACTCAGTTATTTTCGCATTATACCAGCAAACCAGCTTTCATACATCATTCAAAACTTCTGACAGAACAGGCTGGTGGGCGCATTTGTCGCCACAAGTCTTAACCCCAACTATAAAAAAAATCATTTGAACCTGTTTTTCAATTATGACCATGCTACGACCTGAAACCGCCCTAACTGGCTTGCAGTTATGCATTGGGGTAGGTTTGTAAAGATGACAAGATTTTAATTTAGCATTTTGATGCCCTTCATAGTCTTATTTGTCCTATAGTGTAATAAGTGTATAGGGCAATAATAGGCTACCTAGCTAGTCTGACAGACCATGACTAGCCAAATTAAAGCATCTGTTTTTTCTTGCAAATGATTAATTTGTAGGTACATCAAGAAGAGGATTTTGATGATTTTGTATCAATTAAAAATTGACCAAGGCTTATCACCACAGAAAATGATAGGTAAATTATTGTCAAAGGCCAATGACATTAGGTACCTAGTACTAACTCAAGTCTCAAGAGGCCAGTCTGGCCCAGTCAGATGAGTTAGGCAGTCACTACTTGAGTACTTCTACAATCCTATTCCTGGCAATCCACAGCCCACTTGTGACTTGGCTTCTGCTTATTATTTATTAATTCCTGTTAGCAGACAGAAATGCAATGCCATTGACTTGCTGCTTGTCAATTAGAACAGTTAATGATCAATACTGTTTATTGGTAAAATTGATTCCTGAATGGAATGTGCTCAAGGTAGTAAAATTGCCATTGAATGTTCCAGTTTGATTTGTTTTATAAATATATTATTTCAAGTGGATGGTGCCGGAGTGCCGTGTACGCCAGAGGTTTGTTTTTGGATGTATGCCAGTATGCCAGGGAAGAAAGTTGCCAATATGCTTGCTAAAAACGGAAGTGTAACCCTCATCAATGCTGCATGATCGACACAGGCACACGTACTTTACGATTGATGCCTGGCGATTGTCACAAACATACGTGCTTTACGATCTATATACGTAGCCAATGCCCAATGATCAACACTGATGCCGTGATGTGCGCTCTTTGCGATCAAAGTGGAAGATGCCTAATGATTGACACAAGCGCACGCAATTTACGATCGGTATAGCCGATGCCCGATGATCAACACTGATGCGTGCTCTTTGCAATCAAAGTGGCCGATGCCTAATGGTCGACACAAGCGCACGCGATTTACGGTCGGTTTAGCTGATACCCAATGATCAACACTGATGAGCGCTCTCTGCGATCAAAGTGGCCGATGCTTAATGATCAACACAAGCAAATAGCACAAAATATGGTAACACTAACAATATAGTATTAACAACACAACACATTGCAACACAAAATATCACTGCACAACAGCACTGCACTCATCACAACATATCACTATACAACACATTATGACACACCCTAACATGACATTACATTATAACATAACATATTATAACAAACAATATCATAGCACAACATATTACAACACAACATAATGTAACAACATTACATATCTCAATGCACTGTAACACAACACAACATAAATAACATAGCATGACACATTGTAATGAGATGACACAATGCATTATAACATAACTAATCATGATATAACACTATACATCGTAACATAACATAGAACAACAAAACAAATTATACCGCAACATATCCTAATAAAACCCATTATAAGACAGCATAACTCAAACCAGCACATTATAGCACATCATAATATAGCATCAAAAATTATAACACAATCAAACATGATACAACACATTGTAACACAACATAACATAACACATGATACTATATCAGATCACATTATAACACAACCTAATATAATAGAATACATCATAACATAAAAAATTAAAACACAACAGAACACAGGCCAACAGAACATAATATAATACAATATATTATGTTGCATTATAATGTGATGTGTTATGTTATGTTGTTATACTGTGCTATGTTATGATGTGTATTGATGTTATACTATGCAATGTTATAATGGGTTATGTTGTTATACTGTGCTATGTTATGATGTGTTATGTTATGTTATACTGTGCAATGTTATGTGTTATGTTGTTATACTGTGCTATGTTATGATGTGTTATGTTATGTTGTTATACTGTGCAATGTTATAAGATTTAACTCATTTATGAGACGCGTAAAAGCTGTCTAGAGCAATTAAATCATACAAGGTGCGTCATAGGAGCATTACAAAATTATTTAATATTGATACAAAGTGAAGAATTTCATGGTTGGAATATTTCAATTTTCCCCGAACTTTTTGCGTATCGTACTTTTACTAAATATCCCCATGAAAAACCGTCCCGCTGCCAAATCTGAAGAGCGCGCCAGCTATAGGATTCGGCCGACACCAAAAGTTTGCGTCGACATAGAACGTACGACGCTCTCTCGTCCACAGCGTTCTCGTGACTGTCAGAGGCGGGAAAAAAATTCAAAGACAAACTACATAGGATGCGTTTCATTGCAGCTTCCTCGGTTTTGCCTCTTGTTGCTTCGCTAATTTTGCCCTCGATCAAGGGCTGGATCATTGCGGACTGACCCTTGTGGAACTCGAAACTATCGCGGCATCCCTTGGTAAGCTTATATGTGTGCGCGACGTCTGCCTATATAATGACCCTAAAATTCACGCCAAAAAGTTGTTCTATTGTGGTGACCGTCACCACAGTACGGTCTGCAGCTATCTGCTCAGACGTAGGTGACGGCCCAGGCCGTCGGCCGGCAAGGTCAGAAATAACGGCCGCGCGAAACCTTGAGTCATTCATATCAGTACGACTCCGATCGATATAATAAAGTCAGAAATCTACGAGCAACGGCCGTAACTTCGCTTATTTGTACGATCAACATTCATTGCTACGGTTGTGCCGTAGACAGCACGAGAGACAAGAAGGCCTGCAACGAATATAGAGCCGGCAATCAGCACATTTGAGAGCGAGCACTACGCAAGAAGCATCATAGGTACGGTCATCAGCACGGTACGGTCACAGTCGTCGTCAGTAGCGGTACGGTCACGATCACCAACAGCAGAAGCCCCGCAAAGAGCTTGGAGTCACATCATCGCCGATGAAGAGTACGAAGCTATTCCGGACTACGGTCGTCATATAAATTCTACGGTCAGACCGGCCGTGTACATCAATCGATGCGCGGAGATTACGGCTATGAAGACTGCGTGACCGTGAAAAACGACCGCGGGGACGGCTTCTACGGCTGCGGGGACGGAAAATTCTACGGCTGCGGTACGGCCGCTGGAAATACGGCCGCAAACGTGTGCGTGAAGTACGGTTGTTTACGACAGTCGAACTACTCAACGGAACTGCAACTAATAAACGTTTCTGGTAAAAGTAGGATATTTTAGCGATGTAATCTGATAGATTTTCAACTTTGACTGCGTGTTCGGATTCCCCTTTTCTTGTACTGAAGATTTTTGTTAACGTAGGATGTGAACTTGAATTCTGCAATATCCAATTGCAGATTGGAGATTGAAATCTCTTTGTGCGAATTTGGCCGTAACCTATTTCATACGGGAACTTATATACGCGAATATTCCGAACATAGAATAAGTCGCTACGGACGCATCCTGACTAAATTAAAGCAATTGCGATCAATAATAAAATTGTAAAATGCTGCGTGTCTCCTGTGAAGCTTTCCCGCGTAGATTGGAGGCTGTCATTAAAAATAAGGGTGGTCATATTGAATAAATATGTCTGAGAATTGTTCAGGTAATTCTTGGCTACTAGCTCATCCAACAAAAAAACAATGCACCTGTTTGTTTCATTGAGAAATAACAAAAAACATGCGTTGCCATAAATATGGCGGACCCTGTAGTACTTTATAAAGGAACGGAATTCTTTCTTACATCAACTGAGTCTCATCTAGCAGAAGTCACACAATTCCTTGCAGTAATACACTCACACTTCCTCTTCGATGTAGTTTTGATACATACATATTCTATTTTGTAAACTAACTCGTGTATTCATACGCATACTTAAAATACATCAAACTGTCCCGCAGTTGTCGATATATTACAATAAAGAACGCTCATCCAAGCAACAGCACAAAAGCAACTTACCGTTGCAATGGGTACAGAAATTAGGGAATGTAATTGCACGAATACTAAACAAGGAACAAACTCGTAATCCCGAAAGAAATCGCGCCTACGAGCTGTGGCTACGTTTTCAGCGAACGCAATTTGCGATGCCTAAACTCGTCGTTTTCTGGCTATAACAATGGCTTTTGGACAATGTAATGAGTGGAATATAAGTTGGAGTTTAAAGCCGTAAGTTTTATTCGAGCATCCGGCGTTAAAGAATACACGCATTAACTATAAAAATACTGAAAAAACAAAAAAGAAATGAATCCGAAAAAATCATTTTCACAAGGGAAACTTCAACAGAATTTATGAAAATTCTTGCTTAAATCATGTAGTGAAAACGTCTTCAAAGTATAAAAAGTGAGAGTTGATGGCTAGAACGTACACGTGGTTCTGCAGTATTGACTAAGGGCGATATTATCGTAAAACTTGCAAGGAAAACTGGAGTGCCATTGAGCGAGCAGCAACTAGGCCAGCCAGAGGAGTGGCCGACCTAAACGGGACGTATACACGAGACAACGCATCGCGGTAGACAAGGACGCGACGCAGTCCAGCATCTCAACTAACTGCTGCGACACAAACATCGTCCCGGTGAACATGTATACATCTGTCTCTTATACACATCTAGATGNTCGTCCAGCATCTCAACTAACTGCTGCGACACAAACATCGTCCCGGTGAACATGTATACATCGTCCAGCATCTCAACTAACTGCTGCGACACAAACATCGTCCCGGTGAACATGTATACATCGTCCAGCATCTCAACTAACTGCTGCGACACAAACATCGTCCCGGTGAACATGTACATACACCAAACACCACCGCGCAACAAAAGCTGCTCCGGAGTCCACTCCAAGTCGTTCTCAATTTCAATCCTGAATGCTACGTGCTTCGCTTCAAAGAAGTGAAGACTTTTTTAAATTTCGAAACACTGCCAAGCAGAATGTTAAAAAAGCAACACTACGTTCGGTCTTATATGACATTATTGTGGTGCGTTATTCGACAATTCAAAAGTAAATTTTATGAAATAATTTGCAACAGAAACTTCACAACAAAAATCTCGCAGAAGCGTGGGGTTGTCTAGAGAGTACTTCCTTCATGCGATCGGACACTATAGCGGACGCTTTGTTAATTAAAGGGCAGGTCATGGCGGGCAAGAAGCCCAAGCCATGAAACACGATGTCAGGAAGCTGTCTCAGGGCCTCGTACAGAAAAGTGTGCACGAAGATATCAGAAACACTATATCAACACGACTCGTTACCACGGCTACCTTTAGAAAACTTTGGAAACTGTTTCAACAAATTTCTCTGCCTGTGTTCCCCTAATAAACGAACATTTTTTTAGTCACTTTGCTTGAGCCATGAACAATTTCACATCAAGACCAAATGAGTGAAATAATAATTGCGTTCCACGTAAGATTATTGCTGCTCTGATCGATCATATCAAAACGTCGCTAACAAATCCACAACAGAAGTTGTGGAGGTCTGCGCAAGGCTTCGAGGTCGCCTCAAAGACGTCACTGGAGCGAAGAGTGGACTCACTACGTAAATAATGTCTGAGATAACCAACGCAGACTCTATCATTTTTATAATTTTATCATTCTATCGGTAAATTGAGTCCTTTTAGTTTACAAATGAAATGAGCATATATAATGTCATCACATAAAGCAACCTATAGGTTCCAGAGCTTACGATAGTGCATTGAAAGACAAAAAATCGTTTTCAAGATCCCAAGATAACTCATTACTCTGAAGCGAGCAAGACAAAAGGCACGGCGATAGAAAGTAGCGATGTATAACGTTTAAATCTATGTGAAAATATTTCACCGTTAACTATCACTGCCATTCTTAAAAGGCGAATTGAGGCTCGAGTTTCAGGAGGCCGTCACATACCGTAATGAGGAAGGCACGGTGCGTAAGCACGATGAATATGCAAAAAAAGCTACTTAACGTCAGCGAAACGAATGAATAGGACGCGAACAATCATCACTACCTGCATTATACTGAATGAGACCCGCCACGATTTTGTACTACAGATACACATACGCTATACTGGCGCAAAGTATGGTGCCTCAGCTGATATATTTATTGATCACTACCAAATGTTTATCGTTTGAAATGGTTTTCTGATGGCTAGCACATGCATGATGAATTGCTTTCATAAGTCCACTAATATTTTAATGATACATTTTCATCAGATATTATACAAGGAAACACGTAGCTTCATACAATTTGGTACATCATTCAACATACACACACTATTTCACACACATGGTCAATTCAAAAATTATTCAACAGAAAAAAAAACTGCTCTCATTACATTCTATAACAAATGTGCTTGCATAAAAAAAAGTCAAGATCAAAATAAATGCTTACATTGATACATATATAAAAATTATTATTAAGCATGCAGGAATATCAGCCAAGACCCTGGAGGCAAGCAAGCAAATAAAGGACATTAATTAGTCTGGATCACATAGGAATGCTAAACTGGAATATTATGAATAACTTGGTATCTGGAGTAGTAATGGAGGGAAAACTTCATTAAGTTCACAAACCAAGAGTTGGGCAGCAGAGAGACACATTCCAGGAATTGGTACAAGAATGAGTCATGGTGCTGCCCTACTAGTTAGTGGGGCAGCAATTAGGTGGCATTTATTTAGGTAATTACCATTAGAGAAAAAATTTATGTGCACAAAATGTATACCAAATAAAATTGTAATTTCTATAGCTCTCACTTTCTTCTTATTATTTGACAGTACTTTCAATGTCTCAAATACCCATGCATGATTGGCTCACTTATTCATTGTGACATGGTAAACTTGACATTTCTAATCAATAAGTCAGCAGAATATGCAGAATTTTCATCAGAGGATTCATGTTTACATTACCTGACAGGAGTTTTCAACATGTCTTATTGTCTTCTAATTACTTGTCATTTGATTCTTCCAAATATTGCTCAAAAATACTTTGAAAAACGATAGAATACACAAAATTTGACTGCACTATAAACAAACTTAGAAAAACATGAGCCAGATAATTGGTTTAAAGCTAACTGCACTGAATATCAGCAGGAATTTTGCAGCAATACTTCATGCCTGGCAGCCTGACCTCCATATTACCACAACTAATATGAATCATTATAACTAATGTTGCTTTTGAGATTTATTTACAAATAGTTTGCTTATAACATAACTTAAAATTATAATAATATGCATTTAAAAATTACTTTTTAAAGACAACACTTCTAGAGAATACTGTGTCTCTGATGTTACATATCTACAATGAATTTCTAATTTCATTTTTATATATTAAAACTTTTTTTCAAAATTATTTATTCTGTTAATTGATTCATGTATTGTCTCCAATTTTCTGCAAGTGTGTAAAATTTCAGATAATAGACAAAGTAGAAGTGTGTTAAATTTCAATTATAAGATTTGTAGCAGACAGTCAAACAAACAAACAAGAAGTGAAGTTAAAGAGAAGTGTTGTAGGTACGTACCTAATAAAAATCAATAGCAAGACTTTTAATAAAATCATGGAAAAATTTCACTGATGATAGTATCATAAATATCATCTTGGAAAAAAAAAACAAATTAATTCCCTATGATCCTATCTTTCTTAGACTCTCAAAGCCATCTTTTGCTAAAATAAAACTCTCATAAGTTTAGTCTTGACAGAAAAAATCTTTGGAGAGAGATTTTTTCATTCATGCCTTGGACATCTCCTAAAAAATATATTCCCAAAATAACTTTTAGGCATAAATGATTATCTGGATATGAATACTTCATTCATGGTAAAAAAGGTAAATGATTGAATAATAAAAATTTCAAATGTTGCTTTAGCAGGTGTGAAGGTTAAAATTATAAATACTCTTGTTAAAAATTTATGACAATCCTCAATTTTTTTCTTTTAATTTTGAATTTCAGAGTCATAAATCATTGCTGGTATTTTTATTTTGCTTTAGGCCTAGTCTAGATGCTTGCTTGCGCCTCAAGTTAGCTAGGTACCTAGTAAAATCAAATCAATATTATGAAAAAGAAGAATCATTGCAGAAAATATGAAAAACCACAGTGATACCAATGATGAATTTGTCGATTTATGATGCATGCTTTGCCGATATAGGTTCTAAAAATGTTTAATTCGATGGAAATAGAGTTACGTTACTTACGTAAAGTGACCAAAGTCTCAACTCTCGGTCTCGCAATAAGAAACTTTCACTTTTATCTGACTTGGACAACATTATGAATGAAGGCTTGAAGGGAAATTTTGATGAAACAATACAATTTATGAGACATTTCCGCTCTTATTTTATACACACCTATGACCAGGGAAAATATAGATGTACGAATTTCAGGACTGCCGTTCACCTCCTCCGATCTGCACCAACCACATCACCAAGTACACTGAGTGACTGACTTTGTTTACTAATCGGTGGTGCCATCTGTTCATAAACGCTGCAATAGATGATTTTAGATTTTCGAAAGAAAGAAGTCTCGGCAATCACCTCTATCAATGAATTAATATTTGCATTACAATCAATTCATAACATTATTTTGCTCAATTTCTCTTAAGCATTCAATACTTATCTAGATTTGAAACTTATGGCATATCACGGATTTCAAATTATCCATGTGATTAGGAAATTATAAAGAAGAATTGCTCATAAATGCTCCCAACATCCGTATATGCTCATTGAATTATTGAATATTAATAATGGAAGGGCTTACAAAACTTGGAAAATTTTTCCTAATAATCCGGACTACAGGATCTTTGTTTCGCCCGCTTTTTTCAATCTTTAAAAATCATGGAAGTGTCCGTGGAGCCAACTTTGAGCGTTTCTACAAATAGCGAAATTTTGTGCGTCGAGTTTTCTCCTTATGAATGGAGCAAAAATCTTATCGCAGTTGCATTGACCAATGCCATCAATATTTACTCAGTTCAACTACAGGTATATAATGTTTAAATATTTGGAATTGACTGACGAGTCTGGACTCTGGAACTGGAAGTCTGGATTCACTTGTGGATTGCCATGGTCTGGAAGCCTCAGTGGAAGGTGCGGCTTGTGCACCATAGCAGGCATGGAATATATCTACTTGGCATGACCGGCCCGCATAGTGACAAACCAGAGATTTTGTAGAATCAGTTCATTTTTAATTTCCTCATTTACTCAAGATTTTAACCAATTTCTTAAGTATGATAATGCATAGTGACAAAGCAGAGAGTTTTTTAGACCATGGTGGCAGGGAATTATTGTGAGTACTTATGCGTTTGCAAGAGCATCGCCCGGTCCGGCTCAGCGGGGAGGGGGGGTAGGAAGGGAATAACGAAAGTCTCATTTACGACTGGACTAACCCATTGAGCAACATTTTCTCAGTTATGGTCTCATAACAACTCAATTTTAAAATATGTACAGTTTCGAAGTTGATATAAGTAAATAAATAAATATTTGAACTGGGAAATTCCT